ACAACCCCTTTAAGGGTCACACATCAGATATTTATATTATGGTTTATAACAGAAGCAAAATTATAGTTATAAAGGAGGAATGGAATTATTTTATGGTTGGGGGTCACCACAGCATGAGGAATTGTATTAAAGGGTCACAGCATTAGGGAGGTTGAGAACCATAGTTTTAAGGTATAAACTACATTTCTGCTATAACATTATTCACAAAACAAGTAGCAAGTTGCAAAATCTTTCCACAATATCTGCTGCTTCTGGTTAGTTGTAAAGTCAGTTTAGAAAGTACAACAGCTGAGCTAGATGAGGTTTTGGTCTATTGCATTCAACTACTAGTCAACAAGTATGTATCAAATCCCTTAAGGTGCCAGGCACTATTCTAGGCACTAAATATAAGCTGTAAACAAAACACACAGCCTCATAGAAATAGCTTGCTAGTAGGAGAGAGCTAAAAATAGGTTATAGGTGGGTGAGTAAACAGCAAATAAAATATGAAATAGTGATCAGAGCTAGCAAAGAAGTGGAAAGTAGAACTCTCCTGTGGAAGTGAAGGAGGATTTCACTGAGGTGACATCTGCACAAGACCTGAAGGAGGGGCACAGGAAGCATACAAACATCTGGGAGAAAAAAGACTCCACTAGAGAAAACAAGTATTCAGGAGTGTGAAGTTCCAAAATCAGAAAGACATCTAACACATTGGAGGCCACCATGGAGGGATGAATGAGAAGAGGCCATACAACAGGAAAGAAACGTGTTTACCAGAGGGGGTGGAAGCCCTTAGAAGTTTCGCACAAAAGAAAGGTAGTATCTGACATAAGAGCTTACCAGAGTCACTCTGGTTATGGTGAGGCGAAAAAACATAGGAGATCAAAGATAGAGACAGGAAGATCGTCTAGAAGACCCTGACTGGTGTGGGCAAGAGGCTATGACAGCTTAGGACAGAGTAGTGCAAAGTGGTAGGTTTTTGATCTATAGCCCTTATAGCAGAAAGTCAAAGGAAGAAAATCAAGGATAGCTCCATTAGTTTTGGCCAGGTCATTTATTGGAAATGTGGTTGTATCAGCCAGTTTTATGTCAGTAATAATAAAATACCTCAACTTAACTTTCTAAAAAGTTTATTTAACTCACCGTTTTGGAGGTTCAAGGACATAGTCACCTCCATCAGCACAGTTCCAGCAAGGGCCCTTTCAGCTGTAGCATATCATGAGGATGGCAATAGCAGGAATGTGTATGTCCAAATGATCCCACTGGCAAACAGGAAGCCAGAGAGCCACTTCAAGCGAGACTTGGGCTTTCACAAGAATGTCTCCTTTGAAAGTGATCACAGAGTAATGACCTTTACCACTCCCTAAAAGACGGCAGATACAATGATGAAGGTCCCACCACTTCAAGATCTCTCAACTCAGCACCACTGCACTAAGAGCATGCATAGTCACCAACGCAAAGGACCTTGTTAGGGGTAAGCAAGCCATAGCAGTTTGCCACAGTAGTGGTTCTACTGGGACGGAGCTGTCTGTAGGAAGAACAGAATTTGGTGTTGGTTCTATTAAACTTAAAAGGCTATCCTAAATAATCTACAAATAATCCCACATCTAAGGCTCATGGAACACTGTGAAAGAGGAGGCAAAAGAGTGTAATAGCCAGAGGATCAGGGAGTTTTCTGTGACATTGTGTCTCCTAATAATACTGGAAGCTGCATCCATAAAGTCTCACCAACATGACTGCCAACATGAACTGAACAAGGATGATGCTAATTAGCATAGCAATTTTTATGGAGAAAAGCCCAAGAGGCTCAACCCTACTCAAAGAACTATAGGCAACTGAGGAAAGCTGGAAGCTGTAGAAATAGTCTTCCCTGGGGAACGGCACACCAATTGGTCATCCAATACTAAATGGTCAACCCTGAAAAAGTGTACACAAATAACATTATACAGACTGAACAGGTTATATTTAGGAATATATGTATACACATATAAATATATACATGTGATTGGTGAAAAAGAGGCCATGGATTTGAAGAACAAGGAGGGGTTTGGATGGAAGAGAAGGGAGAAATTTTGTAATTACATTATAATCTCAAAAGTAATGTTTTAAAGGGTTATCCTAAATAGAAAGATTAAGCTGACCCCTCCCCCTATTTAGAAACTGATTATTTTGATAAGTGTGGGTTCATTTGTCAGTTTTAATTATTTTAAATCCTATGGTAGAGTCCTATTTTTCCTGTTCTCTAAGATTGGTCATCATTATCCAGCTTCTATAATCATTGTGTAAGCCTTAAACTGTTTTCCATTCAACTAGTAACTCTGAAACACTGTCACCTCCATATTTGCTGCTGTTTTTCCAATAGTGACCTGGTGCTATCACTCCTCCTATTCATATCCTCCTTTACTTTTCCTGCTATGGTTTACTTATTTTCTTGAGTAAATCTTGTGTCTCAAGGCAAATCCTCAAGTAACTTATTTTTGGTTCATGGCTATGAATGGAATCTCTCTTTTTATGCTCTTATTAATAAGCAGCTATTTTCACTGACAGAAACAATGCTTCTGTGTGGGTTTTCTTTGGCTTGAGTCTTTGCCGAACTCATTCATTATTTATGGCAGTTTAGAGGATGCTTTTCTTGGAACATTTAGGCCTATCATCATTTCCAGTGCATTACTACTTCTTACCCTTATATTTTTTATGTCTTTTTCACATAGTTATTACAGGCACTTCTAATACCATGCCAAGAAGAACCACCCTGAGAAGCCTTCTGCTGAGCTTTCGAGGAGAGGGCTTCTGCAGCTTCTGGTGAGTATTGGCAGTGGTGCCTCAGATGAGCTCCTTCCTGCGGCTCCCTGTGAAGCTCCAGGGAGAAAGACGATAACACTGACTGACCATAAAAATGACTAAAATGATTGCTCATTCAAAGTTTGCTCATCTTTTTCATTTGTGATTTAATTTTTACCCATTTTCTCTTTTAAAAATAAACACTTGCTTGTTAATGAAGTGCCAAGGAATTCAAATGCAGCTTTATTTTTCTTTTTCTGAGATCTGTGCACGTCTTTAATATCACCATTCTTTGTCCAATACATGTTTTCACAATTCATGCTCATGGTTGTAAAATCTCTTTTATTTGATACCATGTTTTGATATTTCCATTAGAGAACTCAGGAAACTCTTATCAAATTAGTCTCTACTTTTAGAAAAGTTGGGTTTTAATTATTTTTCTTGTATGTAATGGGTAACTATATTTCTTTTCTGATTCAGTCTTTAAGTTTATTGTGTTCTCTGAGAGACATTTATCTTCTCGGCATGTAATATAAGTGACATGCTGATCCAGTCTTTAATTGCTCATTATATTCACCTCCTCTGTGTCATTCCTTTTTTTGGTTTGTTTTTTGGTTTTTTTTCTTCAAGACAGGGTTTCTCTGTATTGTTTTGGAGGCTGTCCTGGAACTCACTCTGTAGACAGGCTGGCTTCGAACTCACAGAGATCCGCCTGTCTCTGCCTCCTGAGTGCGCCACCAATGCCCGCCTCCTCTGTGTCATTCTTGACCCTTTATTTCTCTGCCTGGTCTCTGTCAGGGATGAGAAACATTTGTGTTTCTTCTTTGTGTTTATATTTTGTTGTTATAGGATTATTTTTGAGAGTTTAGAATCTAGACTCTAGATTGTTAGATGGAATTTGGCATATTTTTGAATTGCAGGCATATTTCTTGCCCAAGATGTCATTTATATGGAGTAATGAATCCAGGCAGGCCATCTTCATTTGCAAACTTTTTCAGGGAGGTTAAGTGTCTTGTCAATGTTTTATATCTTGTAAGTGGTAGAACTGTAGTTAAAACTACTTTTTATATTATCAATGGCTTTACTTTAATTTGTTAACCTTACATTTTAACAATTCTAGGGGTGACTGTTTCCTCAGGTGCATCTGAAATAGAAACTATTTGCTGACGAAGAGATTCCTTAGTCCTACCTCAGACTTACTGAGTCAGAAATTCTGACCAACTGTGGTGATGCATACCTTTCAGCCTTGCACTCAGAAGACAAGAAGTGTCATAAGTTCAAGGCCAGTCATGGAGTGTGCTGACTAATTTTATGTCCACTTGACACAGGATAGAGTCATCTGAGAGAAAGGAATCCCAAATGAGAAAATGCCTCCATGAGATTGGTCTGTAGGCTACCCTATAGAGAATTTTCTTAACTAGTGATTGATGAGGGAAGGCCCAGCCATTGTGGGTGGTGCCATTTCTGGACTGGTAGCCCCAGATTCTATAAGAAAGCAGGTTGAACAAACCATGAGGAACAAACCAATAAGCAGCATTCCCCCATGGCCTTTGTATAGCTCATTTCTCCAGTTTTCTGCCCTGTTTGAGTTCCTGCCCTGACTTCCCCCAGTGATGGACTGTTATCTGGAAGTGTAAGCAAAATAAACCTTTTCACCCCAAGTTGCTTTTGATCGTAGTGTTTCATCACAACAACAGTAACCCTAAATAAGACAAGGAAACATAGTAATACTCTGCCAAGAAAAGAAAACAAAAAAGGAAATAAAAGAAAAACTAAAGTATGAGAACAAGTCCCAGGAACTTTAACTATTAGTATAGGCTCATGGACAATCCTGACTGTGCAAGTTTGACATAGTTGACTTCATCTGTCAGATACACCCAAGGATGACCTTGGGTGTACCATCTCTTTGTTCCATTGAGTACAGGTAGAATCAGTGATTTTTGTCTAACAATAGAAAATAGTAATGAGCCGGGCATTGGTGGCACACGCCTTTAATCCCAGCACTTGGGAGGCAGAGGCAGGCAGATCCCTGTGAGTTCGAGGCCAGCCTGGTCTACAAAGTGAGTTCCAGGACAGCCTCCAAAGCCACAGAGAAACCCTGTCTTGAAAAACCAAAAAAAAAAAAATAGTAATGGTAGCCATGTGATTAACATTCCATGTTATGCTGTGAGATATTATATCACCTAATGTAAGACTTTGTCTTGAAGAACTACAGAAGTAAATTTTCTTTCTTTCTTTTTTTAAATATGAAATGCTTCACAAATTTGAGAGTCATCTTTGTACAGGGGCCATGCTAATCTTCTCTATATTGTTCAAATTTTAGTATATGTGCTGCTGAATTGAGTGTTAAGGAAATTTTCTTGTTGGCCTTGAGAAAGTAAGTTGTGAAACAGACACAATACAGGGAAAGCAGATGACCTTTAGAAGTTAACAACAGGCCCCAGATGACAGAAAACAAGACCTCAGTCTTGCAACTACAAGAACTAAATTTTGTTAAGAGCCATGTGAACAAGTAGATGCTGAGCATCATAAAGACTGTAGCCATAGGACTGAGAATGCAAATCAGTTGGTAAAGTACTTGCCTATTCCATTAGCCCTGGGCTCAATCCCCAACAACACATCAACTTGGACATGTGACACAAGTCTGCATTCCCAGCACTCAGGAGGTAGAAGCAGAAGGATCAAAAGCTCCAGTCATGTGGCTGGAGAGATGGCTCAACAGCTAAAATCACTCTGGTTTCCAACCCCCACGTTAGGTAGTTCACAGTCACCTATAACTCAAGCTTTAGGGAATCTGAGGCCCTCTTCTGGCCTCTGCAGGCATCTGCATTCACATGAACACACACACACACACACACACACACACACACACACGCACACGCACGCACACACACACACACACACACACACACACACTACAATAAAGTATTTATTTAGTTCAAATCTGCTACATTGAAAGTTCAAGGCCCATCTGGGATACATGAGATCCTGACTCAAAAAGATTTTAAAAAGAAGAATCCAGCAAAACCTTGTCACCTTGCAGAACCCTAAACAAAACAGAGTGCTGAGCAAAAAGCTGTGCTTGGATTTCTAACCAACAGATAAGGTGAGATAATAAATACATATTATTTCAAATCTGTTGTAATTTGATGCATAGCAACAGAAATTTAAAATACTTCCTGTTACACTTTGGATCTAGAATGCTTCCCAAAGACCCATGTAGTAAAAGCTTGGGACTCTTTGTGGTGCTGCTACTAGAAGGCAGTGAAAAATTTTAAGACGTAGGGCCTAGTGGGACTTTTAAGATCATGGGGGTCCCTGAAGAGGACTGTAGGGTACCAATCCCTTCCTATAATCTATTATAGAGCTCATTTCAGAGGCAGTTACTGTTACTAGTTTCCTATTTATACTTCTGGGGACATTTTTATTTAATATAAATTTTAGATTTTGTATATCAGTACTTTTAAATCACTTTTTTTAAATGACTAGGTAATATTCTGTTTATGGATATGCCATAATTTACTGATCCTCTGTCTCTAATTGATGTGTGCTAGACTACTTTCATTCTTTTTATAAACAATAAACAGAATTGCTAGGCTAAAGACTGTGCATTTTCTGAACACACTGTTAAATCACTGTCCATTGATGCTATGTCAGTGTATATCTCCACCAGCAACAAGTGTGTCTCTTGACACAGCATGTTTTAAAAGTGCTCCAAAAGTACACACCACTCTAATTTTATTCTACAGCTCTTATTACGGGTATCACTGAACATCTTTCTCAGTTTTAAGAGCCATTTACATTCATAGTTAGTTTTTTTTCATAAGCTGATCACCTCTTCCAGTTTTTTATAGAGTTGATCGTCTTTTATGTGGTTTTATGATTGTTCTTTATTTATGATCTTGGATCAGACTCTCTAGGAAACAAAGCTTAGATGATAATGATTTACTGAGTGAGTACAATCCCAAGATAACAAGAATGAAGGGAAAATAAAAGTAAAGCCAAGAAAGGAGGAAAAGTGCAAGTTGTCACTTCATCAAGTGGACCAGTGTCATGAGCCAGAAGTGGTTTAGTTAAGTGAATGTCAAAGGTGAGCAAATGTGGTGAGGAGTTAAGAACAACACACTCCAAAATATGCTGAATTGGTACATTGGTTACTTCAGGCTGATGCCATTGAACAAACTGTCATTTCAGAAAGTGCTAACCAACCCTCCTTTTCATACTTGTAGCAAGCTATAAAGATTCCTTTGGGAGAGGTGTTATCTCTGTTCCCAGACCAAACAAACAAACAGTTTGATATCAGACTGGGAATGCTGCAGCAACAAGCTAATAAACAAGTTCAGTAAAGTAACTCTTAACTTCCATTAGCTTTATACCTCCCCACCACAGTTTTCTGAGTCACCACCCTAGAATTCGCTGCCTCTAGTCCAGATCATTCAGTCCTGTAGCATTTTTTATAAACTTATTTTTTGCTTGTTTTTATGAAAAGCCTTAGAGTTTTCTGCTTCCTCGTCTGTCTTGTGTTCATTTGATTGCAAGACCCAGATGACTCAACCTAGGATCTGAGATGGGTAGAGGAAATTATCAGTCCTTCCTACCATAGGAGTGGGGAGGAGAGGATTTCATTGCACTCTCTTGGCAACATGTGTCCCATAGGACAATAGCTTTGTTACCTTTTGAGCTTTGTTGCCCTGCTCAGCTGGTGAGGAAGCCATATCTCATGTCCAGAGGCAATCATCAGTGCAGCTGTGGTCCTCACTTAACCCTCATCCTAGTGCATTGCAAAATGATGATAAAAATAGAGATACAGCAATGTTCAGTTAGTATGTATAATACTCATTTGCTGTATTCTAAGTTTCTGACCTCTCACTAAACCTGCTGTTACCTACTAGGTCTGAGGGTTGCAAAGTCTGAGAAATGATACGTAGAAGAGAGTCCTGTATTTGGAGAGCTAGACTTGATGCTGAGCTATTGTCCACTTTATAGAGGGTAATAGTAGTCAAGTAATATACAGTTTGAATGTGATTAGTAGTATGCTCATCTCCCTAGTCTTACCAAGATGTTGTTAATTATGGAGACATCATCTTATCTTGATCTATTATGGATTAAATTATAGCTTCTTTCTCTAGAAAATGTTGCAAAGTACAATGGGGCCTTAGATGTGCTTTTTTACTTGGCATGGTCTGTGGGGCATCCTCAGAGGTATTTGAAGAGGAAAAAATGTCCAGCAAGATAGTAATGAATAGACAAAAGCATATTTAAAGTAAACTGGACTTCTAAAATAACCTTTGCCACTATAGAATTAACCACTTCCTCAATGGTTTTCCATCCACCTAACCACCCACACCACCAAAGTAGCTCTTACATTCTTCCAGCATAATCCCCATACAATTTAAATGGCATTTGACTAATTATCGTCCTTCTTTTCCTGGCTGGGCTGTAAATCCTTGAGGGAATAGACTGAAAGAGACTATGTCTCAATTTAGGCCTAGGGTTTTGACTAGAACCTAAAACAGAAAAGTTGCTTAAACTTAAAGCACATTTCTAGATGATTTATATAAAGAGCAACATAATGAATCAATTCAAACACTTCCCTTCAATCCCACTATTCTGAACTCTGGGTCCCCTACCTCCCAATTCCTCCACTTCCCTATGTATGTGTCTATCTTTTCTACAAGATAGTGAGTTCCTTGAAGACACTGGCTGCATTAGCCATTTTAAGATCCGTAGCACCTAATACACACCCAGAAAACATTTGCTGAGCAAGTGAAAAAATGAATGAATGAATGGAGTGCATTTACAGTGGCAGACTAAGTGAAAAGGTCTAAACATCTTAGGAAGCAACTAGTGTGTCTGGTCATTGTGTTCAGAAAAGAGGGGAAAGCAGGTAAATAAAAGAGCATGTGTTTTAGAGATCAATGACCTAAGTTGTGATTCCAACTCTGCCCTTGCTTTGTGCACGTCCCTTCTCTTTTTTGAGCATCAGTTTCTTGCATTGCAAGTCATAAATACACAGGAGGGCGATAGCAATTGGAAGGTCCCACCACAGGAATGATGCTACAACTAAGCTGTATACTATGATTATTCATAGTTACTGTTATTATTCATAATAATATAGTTATTATTAAGTGCTAAGTAGAGGCTTAGCATTGTTACATTTATAGTTGAATGGCCTCGAAGAAGTTAATTTGGACAGAGAATGGAGTATAGTGACCATCACAAATCATGGTGGCAATAGTCATTCATACTGACCACCAACTCTGTCAGGCGTGCCACACACATTTTACATTAAATATTTACAACTAACCTAAACATCAGTACTGTCACCCCACTTATCAAAACAAGGAAACTAAACTTCAAAGTGTCTACAAGTTCTTAGGTCACAAAGCCCAGTCCATCTGATTTCAGAGTACCTCTTTTTCTGAACAAATGCAGGAACAAATTGTGGGAATCAAACTAGATTAAACCCTTTTAACAACTTAGATCATAAGTTAAGATGGCTAAAATGCTGATAAATTACAAGGCTGTGTAAGTCTGTTGGTTATCTCCTACCCTTGTCATTCCTACTGTTGTAAACACGTCTGAGCATTTTCATCATGAGAGCTTATTCTGAACCAGATGTAGTTCACTGGATGAGCCCAGTGCTTAGAGAAAAATCTTCACCTGAACCCACCACATTCAGTAGTAGTGGTAGAACAATACCCTCTGAACATAATAGCAACTATGGCCTTAATCAGAATAGCTGATTGCAAGAGACCCTCAAAAAGAGGCCTGTTGACATTCCCTCCTAAAAGGGACTGAGGGTTATAAGCCTCTGACCTGAGATTCCAGCCATTCCCTCCTGTCCTGCCTCTCCTTGTGGTATGTATTTCAGCCCATCTTTACAAAGTTTCAAGGTACACAGAGGGTAAAAAGTTCATGGAAGGAGGGAAACCCACCTAAACATCCATGAGGAAAGCATCTTCCATACTGGGGTGAAGAATCTTTGGTAATGTGGCTGTTTAATGGTTACTCACACTCCTGTAAATAACCCATCACCTATGCTTCCTTAAATAACTCAGTAAGTTCTTGGTTCACCAAGATAGACTAGGGTAGTCACATGTTCATATTTTCCCAGGAAAAAGTCCATAAGTAGAAAGTTCTCCATGTCTTTGGGAAATCTGCATTTTAGAAGACTTTGTTAGGCACCGGGTATCAGGTAAACAGAGAATTCCACTGGTTCACCTCTTCCTAGCCCCTCTCAGATATTTACTTTCTCATACCATACATTCTCAAAACACATAAGAAAGGGAGATACTCCCCAGGCACCATTGACCATAGCTTCATCCTGCTACAGCCCCTTTCATC